ACCACTGTGTACTGCTACACCACCACTGTGTACTGCAGGACACCACCACTACCGTGTACTGGAGTACACCACCACTGTGTACTGCCACACCACCACCGTGTACTGCAGTACACCACTACCGTGTACTGCAGTACACCACTACCGTGTACTGCAGTACACCACTACCGTGTACTGCAGTACACCACCAGTGTACTGCTACACCACCACCGTGTACTGCTACACCACCACCGTGTACTGCAGTACACCACCAATGTGTACTGGAGTACACCACCACCGTGTACTGCAGTACACCACCACCGTGTACTGCAGTACACCACCACTACCGTGTACTGGAGTACACCACCACTGTGTACTGCCACACCACCACCGTGTACTACAGTACACCACTACCGTGTACTGCAGTACACCACTACCATGTACTGCAGTACACCACCACCGTGTACTGCAGTACACCACCACTACCGTGTACTGGAGTACACCACCACTGTGTACTGCCACACCACCACTGTGTACTGCAGTACACCACTACCGTGTACTGCAGTACACCACTACCGTGTACTGCAGTACACCACTACCGTGTACTGCAGTACACCACCACCGTGTACTGCAGTACACCACCACCGTGTACTGCAGTACACCACCACCGTGTACTGCAGTACACAACTACCGTGTACTGCAGTACACCACCACTGTGTACTGCAGTACACCACCACTGTGTACTGCAGTACTCCACCACTGTACTGCAGTACTCCACCACTGTGTACTGCAGTACACCACCACTGTGTACTGCAATACACCACCACTGTGTACTGCTACACCACCACTGTGTACTGCTACACCACCACTGTGTACTGCTACACCACCACTGTGTACTGCAGGACACCACCACTACCGTGTACTGGAGTACACCACCACTGTGTACTGCCACACCACCACCGTGTACTGCAGTACACCACTACCGTGTACTGCAGTACACCACTACCGTGTACTGCAGTACACCACTACCGTGTACTGCAGTACACCACCAGTGTACTGCTACACCACCACCGTGTACTGCTACACCACCACCGTGTACTGCAGTACACCACCAATGTGTACTGGAGTACACCACCACCGTGTACTGCAGTACACCACCACCGTGTACTGCAGTACACAACTACTGTGTACTGCAGTACACCACTACCGTGTACTGCAGTACACCACTACCGTGTACTGCAGTACACCACTACCGTGTACTGCAGTACACCACCACTGTGTACTGCTACACCACCACTGTGTACTGCTACACCACCACTGTACTGCTACACCACCAGTGTGTACTGCAGTACACCACTACTGTGTACTGCAGTACACCACCAGTGTGTACTGCAGTACACCACCACTGTGTACTGCAGTACACCACCAGTGTGTACTGCAGTACACCACCACTGTGTACTGCAGTACACCACCACTGTGTACTGCTACACTGTACTGCAGTACACCACCACTGTGCACTGCTACACCACCACTGTGCACTGCTACACCACCACTGTGTACTGCTAAACCACCACTGTGTAATGCTACACCACCACTGTGTACTGCAGTACACCACTACTATGTACTGCTACACCACCACTGTGTACTGCAGTACACCACCACTGTGTACTGCTACACCACCGGTGTGTACTGCTACACCACCACTGTGTACTGCAGTACACCACCACCGTGTACTGCAGTACACCACTAGGTACTACCGGTAACACTACAAGCTAATATCTACTACTACCACCACCAGCATACTACTGTACTGTGTGTTGGCTAGTACTGTACCAGCACAGTACAGCCGTGCAGTCCATGTGTACTGTCGTGCAGTCCATGTGTACTGTTGTGTGCTGCCCCTCCCCCGCGAGGTGGTGGTGGTGAGTGGCCCGGGGTGGTTGTGGTGGTGGTGAGGGTTGTGGTGGTGGTGGTGGTTGTGGTGGTAGTAGGGGTTGTGGTAGCGGGGGTTGTGGTGGTGGTGGTAGTGGGGGTTGTGGTGGTGGTTGTGGTGGTGGTAGTGGTGGTGGGGTGATTGTGGTAGTGAGGGTTGTAGTAGTGAGGGTTGTGGTGGTGGTGGTGGTAGTGGGGGTGATTGTGGTAGTGGTGGTAGTGGGGGTTGTTGTGGTGGTGGTGGTGAGTGGCCGGGGGTGGTTGTGGTAGTGAGGGTTGTGGTAGTAGTGAGGGTTGTGGTGGTGGTAGTGGGGGTTGTTGTGGTGGTGGTAGTGGTGGTCGTGGTGGTAGTGGTGGTGGTAGTGAGGGTTGTGGTGGTGGTAGTGGTTGTGGTGGTGGTAGTGGTTGTGGTGGTGGTAGTGGGGGTTGTGGTGGTGGTGGCCCGGGGTGGTTGTGGTAGTGAGGGTTGTGGTGGTGGTGGTGGTAGTGAGGGTTGTTGTGGTAGTGGGGGTTGTGGTGGTGGTAGTGGTGGTTGTGGTGGTGGTAGTGAGGGTTGTTGTGGTGGTGGTAGTGAGGGTTGTTGTGGTGGTTGTGGTGGTGGTAGTGAGGGTTGTTGTGGTGGTGGTTGTGGTGGTGGTAGTGGGGGTTGTGGTAGTGGTGGTGGTAGTGAGGGTTGTAGTGGGAGTTGTGGTGGTGGTGAGGGTGGTGGTAGTGGTGGTTGTGGTGGTGGTAGTGAGGGTGGGGGGTGGTTGTGAGGGTTGTGGTGGTGGTAGTGGTGGTTGTTGTGGTAGTGGTGGTTGTGGTGGTAGTGGTGGTGGTAGCGGTGGTGGTGGTGGGGGTTGTGGTGGTGGGGGTTGTGGTGGTAGTGGGGGTTGTGGTAGTGGGGGTGGTTGTGGTAGTGAGGGTTGTGGTGGTGGTAGTGGGGGTTGTGAGGGTTGTGGTGGTAGTGGGGGTTGTTGTGGTGGTGGTAGTGGGGGTTGTGGTGGTAGTCGTAGTAGTGGGGGTTGTGGTGGTAGTGATAGTGAGGGTTGTGGTGGTAGTGGTGGTGGTTGTGGTGGTGGTGGTTGTGGTGTTGGTTGTGGTAGTGAGGGTTGTGGTGGGGGTGGTTGTGGTGGTAGTGGGAGTGGTGGTAGTGGTGGTTGTGATGGTGGTAGTGAGGGTTGTGGTAGTGGTGGGGGTGGTTGTGGTGGTATTGGAGGTTGTGGTAGTGGTGGGGGTGGTTGTGGTGGTAGTGGAGGTTGTGGTGGTAGTGGTGGTTGTGGTGGTAGTGAGGGTTATGGTAGTGGTGGGGGTGGTTGTGGTGGTAGTAGGGGTGGTTGTAGTAGTGAGGGTGGTTGTGGTGGTAGTGGGAGTTGTGGTGGTGGTAGTGGTGAGGGTTGTGGTGGTAGTGGTGAGGGTTGTGGTGGTAGTGGGGGTTGTGGTGGTAGTGGGGGTGGTGGTGGTAGTGGTGAGGGTTGTGGTGGTAGTGGGGGTTGTGGTGGTGGTGGTGGTAGTGGGGGTTGTGGTGGTGGTGGTAGTGGTGAGGGTTGTGGTGGAAGTGGGGGTTGTGGTGGTGGTGGTAGTGGGGGTTGTGGTGGTGGTGGTAGTGGTGAGGGTTGTGGTGGTAGTGGTGGTAGTGGTGGTGGTAGTAGTGGTGGTAGTGGTGGTTGTGGAGGTAGTAGTTGTGGTAGTGGTGGTGGTAGTGGTGGTGGTAGTGGTTGTGGTAGTGGTGGTGGTAGTGGTGGTGGTAGTGGTGGTGGTAGTGGTGGTAGTGGTGGTGGTAGTGGGGGTGGTTGTGGTGGTGGTATTGGTGCTGGTAGTGGTAGTGGTGGTAGTGGTAGTAGTGGTGGTAGTGGTGGTGATAGTGGTGGTGGTGGTGTTGGTAGTGATAGTGGTGGTTGTTGTGGTAGTGGTGGTTGTGGTGGTGATAGTGGTGGTTGTAGTGGTGGTGAGGGTTGTTGTGGTAGTGATAGTGGTGGTTGTTGTGGTAGTGGTGGTTGTGGTGGTGGTAGTGGTGGTTGTGGTGGTGAGGGTTGTTGTGGTAGTGATAGTGGTGGTTGTTGTGGTAGTGGTGGTTGTGGTGGTGGTAGTGGTGGTTGTGGTGGTGGTGAGGGTTGTTGTGGTAGTGATAGTGGTGGTTGTTGTGGTAGTGGTGGTGGTAGTGGTGGTTGTGGTGGTGGTGAGGGTTGTTGTGGTAGTGATAGTGGTGGTTGTTGTGGTAGTGGTGGTGGTAGTGGTGGTTGTGGTGGTGGTGAGGGTTGTTGTGGTAGTGATAGTGGTGGTTGTTGTGGTAGTGGTGGTGGTAGTGGTGGTTGTGGTGGTGGTTGTTGTGGTAGTGATAGTGGTGGTTGTTGTGGTAGTGGTGGTAGTGGTGGTGGTAGTAGTGGTTGTGGTGGTGGTGAGGGTTGTTGTGGTAGTGATAGTGGTGGTTGTTGTGGTAGTGGTGGTAGTGGTGGTGGTAGTGGTGGTTGTGGTGGTGGTGAGGGTTGTTGTTGTAGTGATAGTGGTGGTTGTTGTGGTAGTGGTGGTAGTGGTGGTGGTAGTGGTGGTTGTGGTGGTGGTGAGGGTTGTTGTGGTAGTGATAGTGGTGGTTGTTGTGGTAGTGGTGGTAGTGGTGGTGGTAGTGGTGGTTGTGGTGAGGGTTGTTGTGGTAGTGATAGTGGTGGTGGTTGTGGTAGTGGTGGTTGTGGTTGTGGTGAGGGTTGTTGTGGTAGTGATAGTGGTGGTTGTTGTGGTAGTGGTGGTTGTGGTAGTGGTGGTTGTGGTGAGGGTTGTTGTGGTAGTGATAGTGGTGGTTGTTGTGGTAGTGGTGGTAGTGGTGGTAGTGATAGTGGTGGTTGTTGTGGTAGTGGTTGTTGTGGTAGTGGTGGTTGTGGTGAGGGTTGTTGTGGTAGTGATAGTGGTGGTTGTTGTGGTAGTGATGGTAGTGGTGGTTGTGGTAGTGGTGGTTGTGGTGAGGGTTGTTGTGGTAGTGATAGTGGTGGTTGTTGTGGTAGTGGTGGTAGTGATAGTGGTGGTTGTTGTGGTAGTGGTTGTTGTGGTAGTGGTGGTAGTGGTGGTTGTGGTTGTGGTGAGGGTTGTTGTGGTAGTGATAGTGGTGGTGGCGGCCTCACCCAGCAATAGGAGGCGATGCGTGGCGCGGTATTGCTGTTTCTCGCGCGCGAGCTGTCTCTCGATTTTCTTGTTGGCCTCCCTCTGCGCCTTCTCGTCCGTCCGCTGGTCTTCGGTCTTGCTGTCGAAGCAGCCCATGGCGGCAATCTCCTCCTCCTCCTCCTCCCCCGGCCTAGCCCGGCCCGCGGGGTGCGACCGTTATGAGAGGCGGCGGTGACGACGGCGGCGGAGGTGGTGGTGGCGACGGTAGCCTGAGGAGGTTGTGAGGGGGTTAGCCGCGCGGACGGTTCTGGTTGGGGGGCGGTGTGGTGGTGGTGGTGGTGGTGATGGTGGTGGTGGCGGGAAGGGGAGAGACAAACACGGCCGCGGGGAAAGAGAAAAAAAAATCCCGCGCCCGCGCGAGACTCTCCCTCACGCGACGACGATTGCGGTTTGACGGTAATTGGGTTTGTGAGGTTGGTGGTGGGGGGGTTAATTAATCGGGCTAATTGCGGTGATGTTATAATTAATTTTTTCTCTCTCTCTCGCTCTCTTGCGAGGGGGAGGCGAGAGCCGCGAGCCCCCGGCGCGCCACTTTTATATAGAGGGGGAGGGGGCCACGCCCACCGCGCAAGCTCCGCCCACTCGCAGCCAAGCCACGCCCCCATCTCACAGCCACGCCACGCCCACCGCGCAAGCTCCGCCCACTCGCAGATAAGCTCCGCCCACTCGCAGCCAAGGCCCGCTTCTCCCACCCCACCCTTCCCTTCTCCTCCACCCCTCCCCCCATCGCTTAGCAGGGGCACGTGCCACCAGCAGCAGCAGCAGCGACTGGACGCGGGGTGAGGGGGGGGGCGATTGTCAGAGGGGGCGTGGTCAGAGATGGCAGGGGGCGGGGCGATGGTGAATAAGGGCGGGGCACGAGCGCGAGGCATGCTGGGAGGAGGGTACCGAGGAGAGGGGTCGTTTTCACCCATCTCCTCCCACCCCCCTTGATTCGATTAATATTGCAACTCGATGCAATAATCGATTTCTCCCCATTCACTTTGCGACGAATATACTGCAATTGGATGCGAGAGTAACGAATCGATCGTAATCGACGTTAAGCGCACAAGTAAATTAAATTGCATCGTGGTGGGCGGGGGCTTAATCGATATGAATATTGGAATAGATTTTCTCTGTTTGATGTAATCGATTAATCGGTGGAAGAGGCGTGGTCACGGTGGAGGAAGTAGCGTCACGCGAGCAGTGACGTCAGATCCGGGCAAATTAAGCCCCGCCCTCATCAGCTGGATGGACCACGTGACATCTGACGTCAGCGTGTAGGCCCGCCCTGGTGCTATTTTTAGATTCACATCCGGGTGAGTGGCAGGTCGAGCACGTGACTCGCAAAGAGGCGGGGGCCCTCACTTGGGTTTCTTAGGGTTCAACAGATTCGATGCTACGTAGCCCAAACATCAACAACACATCAGCACCATCATCATCAACATCATCCACATCATCAACACATCACCACCATCATCATCAACATCATCAACACATCACCACCATCATCATCAACACATCACCACCATCACCCCAACATCACCCACATCATCAACACCATCACCCCAACATCAACCACACATCAGCACCATCACCCCAACATCATCCACACATCAGCACCATCACCCCAACATCATCCACACATCAGCACCATCACCCCAACATCATCCACACATCAGCACCATCACCCCAACATCAACCACACATCAGCACCATCACCCCAACATCATCCACACATCAGCACCATCACATCAACACATCAGCACCATCACCCCAACATCAACCACACATCAGCACCATCACCCCAACATCATCCACACATCAGCACCATCACATCAACACATCAGCACCATCACCCCAACATCATCCACACATCAGCACCATCACCCCAACATCATCCACACATCAGCACCATCACATCAACACATCAGCACCATCACCCCAACATCAACCGCACATCAGCACCATCACCCCAACATCATCCACACATCAGCACCATCACATCAACACATCAGCACCATCACCCCAACATCAACCACACATCAGCACCATCACCAACATCATCAACACATCAGCACCATCACCCCAACATCATCCACACATCAGCACCATCACCAACATCATCAACACATCAGCACCATCACCAACATCATCCACACATCAGCACCATCACCAACATCATGCACACATCAGCACCATCACCAACATCATCCACACATCAGCACCATCACCAACATCATCAACACATCAGCACCATCACCAACATCATCCACACATCAGCACCATCACCAACATCATCAACACATCAGCACCATCACCAACATCATCAACACATCAGCACCATCACCAACATCATCCACACATCAGCACCATCACCAACATCATGCACACATCAGCACCATCACCAACATCATGCACACATCAGCACCATCACCAACATCATCAACACATCAGCACCATCACCAACATCATCAACACATCAGCACCATCACCAACATCCACAGATCAGCACCATCACCCCAACATCATCCACACATCAGCACCATCACCCCAACATCAACACATCAGCACCATCACCCCAACATCATCAACACATCACCACCATCACCCCAACATCATCCACACATCAGCACCATCACTCCAACATCATCCACACATCAGCACCATCACCAACATCATCAACACATCAGCACCATCACCCCAACATCATCAAGACATCAGCACCATCACCAACATCATCCACACATCAGCACCATCACCAACATCATCAACACATCAGCACCATCACACCAACATCATCAACACATCAGCACCATCACACCAACATCATCCACACATCAGCACCATCACCAACATCATCAACACATCAGCACCATCACCAACATCATCAACACATCAGCACCATCACCCCAACATCATCCACACATCAGCACCATCACACCAACATCATCCACACATCAGCACCATCACCCCAACATCATCAACACATCAGCACCATCACCAACATCATCCACACATCAGCACCATCACCCCAACATCATCAAGACATCAGCACCATCACCAACATCATCCACACATCAGCACCATCACCCCAACAGCATCAACACATCAGCACCATCACCAACATCATCAACACATCAGCACCATCACCAACATCATGCACACATCAGCACCATCACCAACATCAACACATCAGCACCATCATCAACACATCAGCACCATCACCAACATCATCCACACATCAGCACCATCACCCCAACATCATCCACACATCAGCACCATCACCCCAACATCATCAACACATCAGCACCATCACCCCAACATCATCAACACATCACCACCATCACCCCAACATCATCCACACATCAGCACCATCACCCCAACATCATCCACACATCAGCACCATCACCAACATCATCAACACATCAGCACCATCACCCCAACATCATCAAGACATCAGCACCATCACCAACATCATCCACACATCAGCACCATCACCAACATCATCAACACATCAGCACCATCACACCAACATCATCAACACATCAGCACCATCACACCAACATCATCCACACATCAGCACCATCACCAACATCATCAACACATCAGCACCATCACCAACATCATCAACACATCAGCACCATCACCCCAACATCATCCACACATCAGCACCATCACACCAACATCATCCACACATCAGCACCATCACCCCAACATCATCAACACATCAGCACCATCACCAACATCATCCACACATCAGCACCATCACCCCAACATCATCAAGACATCAGCACCATCACCAACATCATCCACACATCAGCACCATCACCCCAACATCATCAACACATCACCACCATCACACCAACATCATCCACACATCACCACCATCACACCAACATCATCAACACATCACCACCATCACACCAACATCATCCACACATCAGCATCATCACACCAACATCATCCACACATCATCACCATCACACCAACATCACCCACACATCAGCACCATCACACCAACATCATCCACACATCATCACCATCACACCAACATCACCCACACATCAACACCATCACACCAACATCATCCACACATCATCACCATCACACCAACATCATCCACACATCAGCACCATCACCCCAACATCATCCACACAGCACCATCACCCCAACATCATCAACAACGTCAGCAGCATCACACCAACATCATCAACACATCAGCACCATCACCCCAACATCATCAACACATCATCACCATCACCAACATCATCCACACATCAGCACCATCACCCTAACATCATCAACACATCATCACCATCACCAACATCATCCACACATCACCACCATCACCCCAACATCATCCACACATCAGCACCATCACCCCAATCATCCACACATCACCACCATCACCTCAATCATCAACACATCAGCACCATCACAACAACATCATCCACACATCAGCACCATCACCCCAACATCATCAACCCAGCCCCACCCTCCCCACCCAGCCCCTCCCTCCCCACCCAGCCCCTCCCTGCACGACGGACGGACACAATAATCCCCTGTGGGCTGGTGTAACCAGGAGGTTCCTACCAGTAACACCGTCAATAAATCGGACACCGAACATCATCCCATCAGGGTGACCGGGTGACCACAGAGGACCCGGTTATAGCTGCTGATTGTCTCAGCGAGTTGATGATCTCAGCCCCAGGGTCACCAGCAACTTACACAGAGATCCACTTGACGTACCGGTGATTGAGACAACCAGAGCTCTTGATACTGGTAGGAACCTCCTGGTTACACCAGCCCACAGGGGATTATTGTGTCCGTCGTGTAGGGAGGAGCTGGGTGGGGAGGGAGGGGTTGGGTGGGGCTGAGTGGGGAGGGTGATGATGATGAGAGAGAGACACGCAAACTCCAAATATACAGCAGGCCAAGACCTCCTGTAGACCAGGCGAGGTAGTTAACATCTCCTAGCCACCGTGATGATGATGAGAGAGAGAGAGACACGCAAACTCTAAATATACAGCAGCAGGCGTCAGGGTCGCGATCGAACCCACGACCTCCTGTATACCAGGCGAGGTAGTTAACATCTCCTAGCCACCGTGATGATGATGAGAGAGAGAGAGACACGCAAACTCTAAATATACAGCAGCAGGCGTCAGGGTCGCGATCGAACCCACAACCTCCTGTATACCAGGCGAGGTAGTTAACATCTCCTAGCCACCGTGATGATGATGGGAGAGAGACACGCAAACTCTAAATATACAGCAGCAGGCGTCAGGGTCGCGATCGAACCCACGACCTCCTGTAGACCAGGCGAGGTAGTTAACATCTCCTAGCCACCGTGATGATGATGAGAGAGAGAGACACGCAAACTCTAAATATACAGCAGCAGGCGTCAGGGTCGCGATCGAACCCACGACCTCCTGTATACCAGGCGAGGTAGTTAACATCTCCTAGCCACCGTGATGATGATGAGAGAGAAAGAGACACGCAAACTCTAAATATACAGCAGCAGCA